TAGTTGGTTTATTCTTTCATACGTTTAATACGTTTCGGTTATTGTGTAAGGGATATTAATCAAAATTTTTATTTCACTTCCGAACTTAGAACTTTTTAATACATACATTTTATTTTTATTTCCGGGGTCGTTACAAGAATAATTAGAATAAGTGTCTCACACATTTTGGTAATATTCAGTTCACGTATTTAAAATCTAAATGTAAATTGGTTAATTTTGCTTGAGAAAAATAAAAAAAGAAAAAGGATAAAAACTTGTTACGTAAATATGTAATAAATGGTTTTCTTTATAATAAATGAATTTACATAAATTAAGAGCTCTATTGGTTATTTTTCTGATTTTTACCAATCTTCAGTTTTCCGTATCTATGATTAGTGTGATATTCTTACTGGGTTAGTGTAACTCACTCATTCATTAATTATTTCAAATCAATAGGAATAAGATCCAGATTCCGATCAACCATAGGGTTGTGAATAATTCACCATCTGGCCTCCCTTCAAATGCTAGTGAAGGTCATCCTAGGATTGCTTAGTTATTTATTTTTCATTTATTTTTTTAATTTCAGTTTGTTCTTTTAGAAAAAATATTCTCGTAATTCTATTGGACATTCTAAATTATTGTATAAGGAATGTAAATCCTAACTCTATTATTTTGTTTCTACATTTAATTTATGACTTTATTTCCATTTAAGTTCTGAGCCTTTACAATACTCATATAAATTAAAGATATTAAATCTATAATAAAAGTGTATCTAAATTTATAGTGCAAAAAATCTGCACATCATGCGATAAAAATAATAATTTTACATACTCCAAGAACACTATATTTGAAAACTGATTTAAAATTTTTGTCAATTTTATTTGCAAATCCACAATTAGTTTAACTAAAAAATATTAAAGCCTGCATTAACATTGATAAAAATTTAACAGCTATTGAATTAAAAAAATATTTATTTTTAATTTTTTAATTAATATTCAGTTTTTGATGTTTTACATTTGTCTCAATGGCCATTTTTTAAAAAGTATTTAAGATAAAATTTTAAAATAATTAGATTATATTTAAATACTTTAAAAATAACTCAAAAAAATTATTTAACTAATTAATTAAATTAACCTACTAGCAATAAATTTAATATTATTAAATAATTAAATTTATTTTCTTGAATTATATTAAATATAATTTAATTATTTTAATAAGAAAAAATTAACCATCTAAAACAAATGAACAACTTTATTGATCAAATTATAAAAAAGCACTAAAATATAAGATTAATCTCAATATTTGTACTATTTTTTATTTACATTTTTTAATTTTGGTTCCTGAACGGCTGGACTTGAGGGCTTCCGGTTTCCGGATCTTTCTATCCAGGATGATGAAAAGACTACAATGCCCTTCATAAAAAAATAATTTACCTAACATATCCATTAAACAGAACCTTAGATCAGATCACGTCATCACAGATCACACAACAGGTGGGCTCCACAGCTGATGTGGCCTAATCAAATAGGCCACGTTTTACTGCCCTTTCCGTTAACTGAAAAAATAGTTTTTTTTACTATTTTTATTTTTATTTATCCGTCAAATCCCTCCGCTTCGCTTGAAAAGAAGTTAGAAGATCTCATAAAGCGGGAGGGAGAGCGAGTGCGCGAGAGAGAAGAGAGACAGAGAAATCGGATCATAGCCGTTGATCTGGTTTTGGCACGTCGAATCTCAGCCATCCGTATCATCATCAACGGCGTGTTGCTCCCTTCGCGGCTGATGCCGTTCTATTCTTGATCTCCGGTGAGTTTTCTGATCAATTTGGCATCTGAATCCGCGTTGCTTTGCTTATTTTCTGCTTGCTTCCTGGATGAAATTGGAAATTTAAAAAAAGAAAAGGAAGAAAGGAATTTGAATCGATTGAATTTGATCGTGTAAAACGGTTATAGACGTCTTCTGTTTTGATCTGATCTTATTGTTTAATAGTGAGTTAATGTCTACAGAGGTCGGATAATGATTGAATTGCAATAAGTTCGTCGGAGAAGATAACCAATTCTTGCGATTTTTCTGTTTGTTTTTCTTTCCTTTGGTTGCTTTTGCTGTTCCTGTCGACGTCGCTGTTTTTTGATAATGATGATGATCTGCCGGTTTTCAGAGTATGGAGGGGCAAAGAGTGCGAGGAGAATTCATTTGAACTGTGCCTGACCAATGTGGTTTTGTTAATTTGTGAGAAGAAACTAACCGATAATGCGAGAATCTAATCTGAAATTGAATATTATATACATACATGCATATATTATGTGTTTGTGTGTCTATATATATATATATAAAACATACACCCATATGCGCGCGCGCGCGCGCATGGGTATATTTATATGCATATTATGCTAATCTTGGACGCTATATCCAAGTTCGTTGGTGATTCATCTGAAAATTTCTTTTTGAAGACCAAAAAGTTCTTCTGAGAGACTGATGAACCTTTATTTTTTACTATTTTTTATATGCTGCAATTGTTTTATCAGATGATTTTTTTTCTTAGTCCTCATTAAGAGATAAGGTAATCTATTTTTTCACTGAGATATATCCTTGATGTTTTTATTTATTAACGTAAGCAACTGGATTTAGCAGTCTACTACTGTGCATTTGTTGCCTTTTTAATGGGGAGATTATGAGTTTAACCCTTCAAACAATGAAGGATACCTCATTCTGAAGCCTGCATCCGCCCCTTCGTGACAATGAAAAGTAGCAAACCAATTTTACGAGCTATTCTCTCTCTACAGGAAAACTAATTTGCGTGTAAATATTTCTAATTTGTTCCCAAATTCATTCATAAGAAAACAAAAATTTAGATCAGACAGGTGCCTGTATTAAAGTAAAAGATAAATTTAATAATAGTTGGTAAATTTATAAATCTTCTACAAGTGCTTCTTGTATAGAAGTTTTCTCTAATTTAATTGAAGCTTGCTTTATATTACTTTTACGCAACGAGTTGTTAGGAACCTTGCTCACTTGTTCTTCACTGTAACATACTAGAGAAAGAAAAGAAGAAAAGGAGAGTAGAGAGGGAAAGAGATAGTAGAGTGAGAAAGAGAGAGAGGGAGATTTGAATTAGTAGTTTGAATTTGATATTTTTCTGATTATTCATTTCTCCCCCAATTAACTATATATTTATGGTAATCAGGAGGTGCACCCCTCAGTTCCAACAGAAAACTAGCAAGAAACAATGCTGAAACCAATTTAACTGCAATACAAAATTTCTCTCTTCCACTTATACTTATTTTACCATTTTATCTTCTTCCTTCGGGACATTGTCAGCAGCTTCCTTAGAATACTCTCTCCTTGAATGGAAACCTTGTCCTCAAGGTCGTGAGTTGGAAATTGCTAACTGATATACTCATAGTCTTTCCAAGTGTAATTGTCCCATACAATCCCAGCCTAGAGAACAAGGACCTGTTCCACTTCTTGACTATTACGAAGAATGGCCCTATGTTGCAAAATACTCTCGGGTTGGAAACTGAGTATGGCATCCCAGCTGCTTGTTGGTAGCTTGTCCACCCTAACTTTGCTGCAAGCAGTGTACTTTTTCAACAGGGACACATGGAAGACTGGATGGATATGCAAGGAGGGTGGTAGTTTGAGCTGGTCCACCACTGGTCCCACTCCCTGCATGACTTTAAAAGAACCATAGAATCTTGGAGTGAGTTTGTAATTATCTCCCAACCTCACAAATCCTTGCCTGAAAGATTATAGCACAAGGTCGAGTTCCTCAAAACTCCTCTAATTGTGATGGGTTTCTGCATATTGCTTGGTACAAGACTTTGCTTGTAGCAAATGCTGTTTAATTACCCAAACTTCACATCTTTCTGTTATAAATTCTTCGATCAATTGTGAGAGTGAGTGTGGATCTACAATATCCAAGAAGTTTGGGGGGGGGGGGGGG